AAACAATGCACCGGATAGACTAGACTTTTTAACATCAATTTATCAACCGATTCCGTGCGTGGCGGAGATGCAAGGGATTAGCCGATATGGTCTGGGGTCCGGCTGGTCTCTCCCCTGATGCTTCGGCTAGAACATTTTCTTGCGTAATTCGTACACCCAAGGGCAGAAGGATTTAATCGCCGTCAGGTCCGAAGTCCATACGACGCCTCAGCTCTGCGGATGTCTCGGGGGTATGGCAAAGTGGGATCGATTTTTTGCCAGAATTTCTGTCGCTAACACGTGGTTCGAATCCCACACAGTTAGGTTTTTTTTTTCTTTTTTTTCCTACTATCCTATTATTTCCATCCTACCTTCTCCATCGTACCATTACCATCCTACGGTTTCCAACAATTTCTGGCATATTGACTTTATTTGCGCTTTACAAATGATTTTTTTATTATTATTATTATTATTATTATTATTATTATTATTTGACAGTGCATTTAGTATTTACCTTAAACTTTGGTTCCACGTCACACAGAATTTGTCCTCGGTATAAAAGCCAGGGAAAAGGTCTTTGTGCTAAGGAAAAGACAAGAGAAGAGGAAAAACCTACCTTAGTAAAAGAAAATATTTCGTCCATTACTCGAAAAGTTATGAATTCGTAAGTAATATTCCATTACAAAAACAACATTGTTTGATCCAAAACTCGAATCCGTCAACATACATTTGGAGTCAGTCAGTTGCAGGCAACTTATAGGTCCCAAGGGGGAGAGGGTGCAGTTTAGAGCAGAATAGAACTTACCCCCATGGAGGGGGAGGAGGGGGGGCAGGGGTGAAGGGAGGGAGCGGGTAAGGTTCTACCCCACTGGATTGGAAAATCATACCATAATGTGCCTGAAGGTGGCGTTTATTGCAGAAGATTCTGTCAGTGGTAGATTTCGACTCATCTTTACGCCAATCACGCAGCTGATGAGGTAGGCAGGATTCTCGAAATAACAGTCACCACCGGAGCTACAAAAAGAAACCGTGATCAATAGAACTCTTTTTTTATTTCAGACCACGTGCCATTCCCTAGAGTATCGTTTCTTTGTTTTACGGTTGCGCATGAAAAGACACTCGAATATGGATAAAACTCAAACAAAGAATGTCAAAAATGGGAAAGCATTTAGCCCTAGGTAACGAGGACTATTACTGCGAAAGTAGCGGAGGAAGGAAGGAAGTCAAGGAGGTAGGAAGCAAGGAAGGAAGGAAGCAAGGAAGGATGGAAGGAAGCAAGGAAGGAAGGAAGGAAGGAAGGAAAGAAGGAAGGAAGGAAGCAAGGAAGGATGGAAGGAAGCAAGGAAGGAAGGAAGCAAGGAAGGAAGGAAGCAAGGAAGGAAGGAAGCAAGGAAGGATGGAAGGAAGCAAGGAAGGAAGGAAGCAAGGAAGGATGGAAGGAAGCAAGGAAGGAAGGAAGCAAGGAAGGATGGAAGGAAGGAAGGAAGGAAGGAAAGGAGGAGGGAAGGAAGGAAGGAAGGAAGGAAGAAATGAGGGAAGCAAGGAAAAAAGGAAGGAAGGGGGGGAGGGAGGGAGGGAGGGAGATGTGAATAGAAGGAAAGAGGGAGCAAGATAATCAAGAGTTGGGTAATGGTAGTGTCTCGCAATCACATGCACGTGTTCATCACTAGTCTTCTTTTGGATTCGGAAAGACATGCAAATTTTTAAATCAACACTAAATTCTTTATGTACCTTTTATCAAGACAGGTCGTGGCTTTTCCCAGGGGAATGAATGAATTGTTGTATGTTGGGCAGGATATCAGGTTGGTGACTGTCACATTTTGTTCTTCGTATTCGATTGGCTTTGGTGCTAAAAAAATAGTCGCAGTAGTTTGTTAGAGCACATAAAATTAGTGCAAAGTTTTGTAGGTCTATGATCTGTTGAGGTCTATTGAACTTACTAATTTGTGCAATTTCTTTCAATGTTTTCCACGGATATATGGTATGCACTATAATAGGACTGTTTTACTTGCAGTCTCTTCATAAGCACAAACAGCATACTCAAACTCAGTTGCTGTTGTTGCAGCCTACACACACCCCTTGAGCGGCACGTCTGGCACAGTTTTTGCATGACTTTGAAAAAGTAGGTGCCGTATGCGTGCCTTGACGCGACCGACAACAGGGAAAAACGTACTGTTTGCGCATTCGTGCACTTTCTAAGAATTTTGAAGATTTTGAGTGAGAAAATAAATGTTTGTTTTCTCCAAGTATACAAAATATTTCGCGAGTATACTTTTGTCAGACCAAGATACTGTATTACCAAACACAATATGAAAGAATTAGCCTCAAGTTTCAAGCATGGACACTAAGTTTTGGCATTTTGTGAAGTCCAATTTATCAGGCATGTTTGAAAGTCAAATTTACATATGTTTTGACTAATTTGCAAACGGATTAAGAGTACAGTAGTTTAAGAATTGCGTTCTGGTCCTCGTTTCCATGTGTATCGACAGGATGACTATTGAATTCTTCATTAACAGTAAAACGTGCTATTCTTGGGGTGCAATCAAAATCCCTTGAGATATATATAACAATGAAACAGCCGCCATCATGGTTGATCTAACGGAGAAGCTAGTGAGGATTGCTTTGTTATCGTCAGCCAAGATGGCGGCTATGACGTATCATGTACCCCAAGAATTCGTTGTACAGGTAATAAACACTTACGCTTCCAAGGCTGTACCATTTTAGTCCAAGTAGCTTTAAACCCTTTATCATTGACGGTTTTATCAGACCTGAATTTTATCATCATAATCGTATCACTAGACTTTAGTGTCCTGTTAAAACCTTTCGTTCCACACGTCCTTGGCATCAACTCTGGCGCACTGGAGTTGCTACCATCAAAAACTTGCACATAATCGTAGAAGCATTTTTTATCCGACTCCAAGTTAAACTCGTCGAAATTAAGAACAACGCTGTGATTGAAGGGAGCTTTAAGAATCCAGACGCATTCTGTATCAAATGGATAATTCTTGCTTGACCAATAGGGTGAAGATATTGTACCACCTGTGTTCTCGAATGTTCTACTGCAATCTAAAATCAAATGATGCTGTTTAGTTTATTTATTTATTATTTTATTTTAAAATTTCCCGTGAAGGCAGAGACACCACAACAGTTAGTTAAGGCTCAGGTCAAACGTCGAACTTCACATGAGCCGAACCCAATTGCACCAAACAAAACCGCCTTGTTATCCATTGATTCGATTAGGTTCGGCTCATGTGAAGTTCGACGTTTGACCTGAGCCTAACTGGCTTAGTATAGGCCGTATCGGTTAATCCAGTTAGCTCGCTCCTTAATATATTGTTAAAAATGTTTTTTTAATCGTATATTATTTTATTATGTAAAGGTGTCAAATAAAAAATTGTCATTGTCAACAGCTTTCGTCAGTTACTTTGGGCCCTGTGTTAACTATAAGCACAGCCACTGAAGATGGTCATCACAAGCGTCTTCAGTGAGTCTTTTATGCTCTTACCAAACGAGATAACCGGCCTGCGGTCAGTTTGAAAGATGGAAAAAGACAAATAAATGATAGATGAGCGAGTACCTATTATGATAATGAGAAAATAAATTCCACATGCATAAAAAAGGCTATTTCATTATACGTACTGCATTTCTTGTATTCTACACTTGGTCCTTCGCATTTTTTGCCTCCATTTTCAGGGCTCGGATTAGTACAGCTTCTGTCACGTCGAACTCGGAAATTGTCACCACATTCCTCGAAACTGTTGGGTGAGTCAGGCCAAGCAGACCATTTAGACCAAGCCCCATCAACTAGGAAGATTAATTCAATGGATTAGGGAAAGGAAGGAAGGAAGGAAGGAAGGAAGGAAGGAAGGAAGGAAGGAAGGAAG